TGTAAAGTTTGGCGGATCACTTGATATAAATTGGCGGATCACGTTGTTTTTTGTAAAAATGATTTTAAAATTATATAATATTTTTGTTTATTAAAATTATAGTTTGCAAATACCTTTTAAATATCATTTCTTTAATGAACTTAAACTATATCTGAATCTATAAAAAATACTTATCAAATAAATAAATAAATAAAAAAAAGGCTTTTTTATTTTATTTAATGAAGTATGACTTTATATTTATATGATTTTATGATTATATGACTTTATATTTATATTTTATTTTATATAATGAAGTACGACATAAAATGTTAGCAACGTTTAAATTATCCGCCCCGCCGTTTGTACCGTTAAAATATCCGCCCCGCCGATCCGCCCCGCCGATTGTACTTACCCCAATTTCTTCAAGAATACATAAATGCATACTTGGGTTTGAATAGAAGAAAAGAAATACTTGTTTTTTCACAGAGAACCTTTTTAGAAAAAGAATAAACAGACCTTAAAGTTTTAAAATGCTGAGAACTTAGAAATTATGTATATAAAAAGTTTACACACATACACACACACAATATAAGAATTTTATAATTGAAAATTCATTTGTAAAAGATCAGAACGGAAAATTTTATGCTGGAAATAAAATATTTTGTTGTTGTTTTATATTTGGTGGTGTTAACTATTGTGTTGTTATTTTTAATTTGGTTGGCAATAATTTTGTTTTGTTTTTATGTTGAAGAAGATAAATGTTATGAATATTTAAATAAAAGATATAAAAACAAATTTAATTAAACATGTACACAAAACTCATAAAATAAAAAAAAAATGTATACAATACTTAAATGTTAAACAAAAGTTAGTCGTTGTTCTCAATTATAATTATATCTTAAACAATGTTAGTTTCTAAATGAAATAACAATAAGTTTAAACAACAACAATATAAAACAATATAAAAACAAGAAATGAATAATGTCACTATTTCTACATCCCCTTCCATGTTTTTAAGTGTCAATGAATATAAACATAATTTCTGGGTTCATTTCTTAAAGTCATTTAATGTCAAAGATTTCCCGGTTTCTGGTTGGTAGAATTTTTTGGGGATACGTAGCCTGGATGAACGTTTCAATGGTTGATCTCCTACGATTTCAGTATTTAATAAAGGTGGCATCGCTAGATGCGGCGAGCTTGTTGATAAAGATGCTGGCATCAACGGTAAGGGTACTGAAGTTGTTGGTAGAGGTAGTGGTGGTACTGCTGGTGCTAATGTAGAAGACGGTAGCAATACTGTAGATGGTGCTAGTTCCGGTTGGGATGGTATGACTTTGTTGCTACTTTCTGGGACATACTCTGTAAATGGTGTTGGCAAATCGGCAGAGTTATAGTGACTAGAGCTTGTTCTTGGTGGTGTAGTCAATGCAACTTCGGTTTCGTATGACTTTAGTGGGTTGAGGAATTTGCGCAAATATTTTCTATTTCTTAATGTTAGTCGACCTGTTCCTTCAACCTCAATGATGTATTGGTCATTTTCCTTACATTCAACAACTTTTCCACTACGATCCCATTTTTTAGGGTGGTTCCCTACTTGATTTTGTATGAAGACGCTGTCTCCTTCATGTAGTGGTGTGAGAAAACGTGTGTGTTCTTGAAGTGATTCAAGGGTCTTTGCATATCTTGTTCGTAATGCTTCTTCTTTTGCAGACCATGCATGTCTCCACGTTTTCAAGAATTGGTCGTTATTAAACATAGGTATTCTGGATTTTATCCTGGGCATGGCGTCGTGAATGGGATGGCCAAATAATACTTGAGCGGGGGATAACTGACAAGTAGGGTCTGGTGTGTTTCTTATTGTAAGCATTGCCCTTACAAAAGCGTTATTATTGAGATCACCATTTGGTCCCACATTATTTTCGAGGAGGCGTTTTGTTGACTTAACTGCAAGCTCAGCTCTTCCATTAGATTGTGGGTGGTGGGCTGATGAAATGCGATGAGTTATGCCCCATTGTTGTAGAAATTCTTTTGTTTCTCCAGAGATGAATTGAGGGCCACCGTCAGTTGAAATTTCTTCTGGGACTCCAAATGTTGTAAATAGTTTACGTAAGCATGTGATAAGACCTTTTGCACTCATTTCTGATGTTCCTGATTTTATTCTGTAGGCTTCGGTCCATCCAGAAAGTCTATCTCCAATGACCAGATAATCCCAGCCACGGAATTCAAAATAGTCAGCAAATATGCATTCAAATGGTGTCACAGGGATGTGAGGTCGGATGGGTGGTAGTCGTGCATTAGAAGGTGCATTTCGATTACAGCTGCAACAGTTATCGCGCTTACTTTGTATGCTGTGAGTGATACCTGGCCAGAAAACAGTGGCTTGAGCTCTGGCTGTCATTCCCGATACTCCTTGGTGGGCTGAGTGTAGTACGTCCAATATCTCTTTCCGTAGAGTAGGTGGGATTACAATTCTGTCATTGTATATTATAACCCCGTCGGACACCATCAAGTCATTGCGGTATTCCCAGAACGGTAAAAGATTTGGTATGAAGTTGTTCTTATTTTTTGGGAACCCGTTTTCTATTGCTAACATTAATGCTTTAAAATCGGTATCCTTTTCTGTCTCTGCTTTGACACTATCCCATGTTACTGCAATCATTTTATCTATGTCGTTTCGTATCGAGGCTATTATTAGTGATTCTGTGTTGTCAAAATCAGTATTTTGATTGCAAGTGGCTGAATTATCAGATTCCTTTGTGTTCTCTGCAGGGTAACGAGAAGTAGCATCTGCTGCCAGGTTTGTTTTTCCTGGTTGATGTTGGATGGTAAATTTCCATGGCAAAGTTCTCTGTTTTAGTCGGAAAAGTCGTGTGTTAGCAATTTCATCTAAGGTCCTATCTCCTAATAATTTGACAAGTGGTTTATGATCAGTTACTACCATAAGGTTATCACAACCTTGTGTGAAATATTTAGTCTGCTCCAGGCTCCATGCCACTGCTAGCATTTCGCCCTCAACTGGTGCATATCGTTGTTCAGCAGATGACAGGAATCTGGACCCTGCTAGGGTTATTTTCCATCCGTCTATACAGCAATCTGGGGAGTCCGATTTACATTCACAATGTTTTTGGCTTAGGTAATATCCTATCCCCAATTTTGACCAGTCGCATCTTAAACAGGTCTTCTTGGTGATGTCAAATATTTGGACTCCATCTTTAATTGCATTGATAATTTTTTCCTTTGACACGTTGAATAAAGTGTTGAGTTCGTCCGACCAATAAAATTTTGATTTAGGGCTAAGCAGAACTCTGAATGGGGCCATAGTTTCTCGAAGTTGAGCGTAATGTGATACTTGGGTCACTAAGCCGAACCAAGATCGGATGTCTGTTATTGAGGATGGTGTTGGAAATGATCTAATGGCATCTATATATTTAGGTAGTGGTTCAACTCCATTTTCAGATATTCTGAAACCTGCAAAATCCACTATTCTTTTAGCAAATTGGAATTTTTGTGGGTTCAAAATGATCCCAGCTTTGCCAACAAGCTCAAGAAATTCGATTGTCCGCCACCAATGTTTGACTAGGTCGTCATCGTAGTGGATGGTGTCATCTACACATCTTTGTTTGCCAATAAAGTCTGCTAAAATTTCGTCGAAACGTCTGTTGTAGCCATCCCCACTAGATACAAAACCTTGAGGAGCTCGGATGTATCTGTAGCGCCCAAAAGGAGTAATGAAGGTGGTAAGATTCCTGTCTTCAACCCGTATCGGGATGCTATGATAACCATTCCATGCGTCGGTTACAGTTTTCCATGAATTTCTTGGGACTGAACGAGCTAGTTGGAAAGGCGATTTCATTGCATGAGTTTCTCTGTAGCAGTACTTGTTTAGAGGAGATAGATCAACAGTGCGACGAGGCCCACCGTCATGCTTACGTGTGATAACCATTCTATGACACCATGTTGTAGGTTCTCCTAGAGGTACCTTTTCAATGACTCCAAGAGTTTCATCACGAATTAAATCCTTTTCCACCTGGTCTTGCCAATGGATTGGTATGGTGGCTGGAGTAAATGCTGCAACTGGTTTGGCATTTTCTTGAATTAAAATACTTATTGGAGGTCCCTCCATATCAGGTAAAATCTGGTGTGGACATGTGTTGAATGTTGAAGCAGAGTATCTTTCAAGGAGCCACGCTTTCATCCGTTCGTTGTTTTCAGGACAGCAGACAAATGGAAGTTTGGTGGGTGTACCTGCTGGGAGACTTCTTTTGGGGCAATTGCACACGTGTGAGCTATTATTTTCACTGGATGTTTTGGTCCCTATAGTTATAGGGCCTGAGTTAATAGCTCCGTGGAGGGCACTGCCTATCTCTGGAAAGTCCTTAGAGATGATACCCAGTTGGGTCATTGCTTCTTTAGATAGGTAGAATCCGTTTGCGTCTGGACTTATATAAACCATTACTGCACATTCAACTTTGTGTCCATTAGGTTGTCGTCCTTCGAGACGTAAAAGAATTGCACCATCTATACGAAATTGGGTTTTATTTGCGGCCGACATGCTATGTTTCACGGAAAAAAACACATACTGAAACATACAATGTTTGACGGAAAAAAACACATACTGAAACTTTTTAGTCCCTGTGTAATAAGAAACTAACATAAACAAAAGTTAGTCGTTGTTCTCAATTATAATTATATCTTAAACAATGTTAGTTTCTAAATGAAATAACAATAAGTTTAAACAACAACAATATAAAACAATATAAAAACAAGAAATGAATAATGTCACTATTTCTACAAATGTATATAGTATAAATTATATATTTAATTTACATATAATACATATAAATTAACCAACTTTATAAGGTTTTTATAAAGTTAGTTATTTTGTCCTTAAATGAATTGTATATATTTTTTATTTTTTTAATTAACATAAAAATGTCATTAATTATTATTATTTTTTTTGACTTAAAATTTTGTTCAAGTAAATTTAAAAAGTAAATTTAAAACATACAACAATTTATTAGAACATATCGGAAAGATCTATTCGATTGAATCACGTGATTACAGTTATTATCGACTTGGTTCAAATGGTCCTTCAATTAATTTGTATTCAAATGGTGTTGAGAAATTCAAAGTTGTTAAAGGTGAGAAGATAATACAAATATATATATATATATATATATATATAATATATATATATATATATATATATATATATATATATATATATATATATATATATATATATATATATATATATATATATATATATATATATATATATATATATATATATATATATATATATATATATATATATATATATATATATATATATATATACATACATATCTTATTTATAAATAATCAGTTCAATCATCAGGTGTAAATATGTTTTTTTTCTCGTGAAAAAAATAATAAATCTGTACAAAAAAAAATTAGTTAAAAATCTAATCTTTTGGCTTGTGGTTGTCCAGCAAAAACTTATTCTCATGGCGACATTTAGATATTAGTTTGTTTTTTTTGTTTAATAATTCTTGAGGATTTTTATGAAATAAAATAATTAATTTTTCCTATAAGTATAACAAGCATTATTTGGTTGTGTTGTTGCAGGCGTATTTTATGATGGATCATTTAAAATTGGGTGTTGTTTTTGTTTTATTTTATGCAGCCCATATTTATTTTGAAAGCGTGGTTGCATTTGTGAGTTTTTTATTTTTGAAGGATCGCTTGTGATTCGCCCTTCTAGTTTACCACATGCCCTCTGTTGAAAAAGAAATGGGTTCAAAGATTTTAGCTTTAAATACAACCCTAAAATTGATACCAAAGTAACCCCCAATCATAAAAGAAAAAGAAATATAATCTGGTTTAACCTACCTTACAATAAAAACGTTCTGACAAATATAGGCAAAACCTTCTTACAATTAATCGACAAACACTTTCAAAAACCAAATCCGCCTCATAAACTATTTAACCGTAACACAACAAAAGTCAGCTACAGCTGTACAAGCAACATAGCAAACATTATAAAGAACCACAACAATAAAATTATTTCCATGAACTTAACTGCCCCTTTAGCTTGCAGTTGTAAACTAATCAAAATCTGCCCTATAAATGGAAATTGCAGAAAAACAAATGTAATTTATAAGTGCATTACATTATTCCCAAACACTTGACAAAACATACATTGGTTCAACAGAGGGCATGTGGAAAACTAGATGGGCGAATCACAAGCAATCCTTCAAAAATTAAAAACTCACAAATGCAACCACGTTTTCAAAATATAAATGGGCTACACAAAATAAAACAAAAACAACACCCAATTTAAAATGGTCCATCAAAAAATACGCCCCCGCCTACAAAAACACAAACAAAAAATGCTTCTTATGCTTATAAGAAAAACTAATTATTTTATTGTATAAAAATCCTCAAGAATTATTAAACAAAAAAAAACAAACTAATATCTAAATGTCGCCATCAGAACAAGTTTTTGCTGGACAACCATAAACCAAAAGATTTTTAAATTCATTTTCTTTTGTACATATTTTTTTTTTTTTTTAACGAGAAAAAAAATATATTTACACCTGATGATTGCATTTAGCATAAAACTTATAGTTGTGAAAAATATGCAGTTTTATTTATAAATAATATATGTAAATACAGCTCTGTTTTAATTTAAATAATTTTAATTTACTTTAATTCATCGAGCACTTTCGTAAAGATATATGCAAGCACTAATACGTATACATATATCAGGCTTTCACAGGAAGACATGTTTTAACAATTTGACCACGGCATATTTTTAAAATTTAAAAACGCGCTTCAAAAACTTTCCTAAACTTATCTGAAAAAAAAAATTAAAAAAGATATTAAATATTAACGAAAGAGAAAATAAAAAAAATACTTAGTTAAAGCAAAAACACAAAAAAGTAAATATATATATATATATATATATATATATATATATATATATATATATATATATATATATATATATATATATATATATATATATATATATATATATATATATATATATATATATAACACAACTCAAAACAAAACTCATCAAACTAAAATGCTTAGTCTATTTAATTTACGCGTTAAAAAACCTTTTCAATCTTTGTTTTAACATTTTTATATATTTTTTATTTATTTAATATGTTCAAAAGTTAAATATTTCTCATAAAAATACATAGTTATATAAATAAAATAAAAAAATATTTTATAAATACTTTTTTTAAAATTTATTAAAAAAAGTGTTTTTTTTTTACTTCATTAAAAGCGTCTCAATAATATAAAAGCATTTAAGATCAAACTTATTAAATTGTAACGGTTTTCTAAAACTTTTTTTTTTTAACGAAATTTTGTTTATCTTTTTAAATGCATTAACTTTAATCATTCTTATATTTAAATTCGTTAAAGAGACTTTCATAGTCGTAGAATGTCATCGTTTATAAAAACAAAACAATTTTTTATTTTTTAATAAGATTAATTTTAGAAATGAACACATTAACAATTTATATGTTTTAAATTAAAAAAGTATATACAACTGTCAATTATATTTAAAAAACAAAACTTTTTTTTAGTAAATTGTTACTTTATTTAAAATCGTTTCGCTAATATAAAAACATTTGTTAAGAAGTTTTGATGTAATTAATTTCACTTTTTTTGAATATTTTTTATTTAGCGCATTTCTAAAATGTTTTTTGAACTAGCAGCGGTCAAACCGTCATAGCAAAATGTGACTTGCGTGGTCATATAAAGACATGAAATCGCACGTCTTCCTGTGAAAGCCTATATATATATATATATATATATATATATATATATATATATATATATATATATATATATATATATATATATATATATATATATATATATATATATATATATATATATATATATATATGTATATATATATATATATATATATATATATATATATATATATATATATATATATATATATATATATATATATGTATATATATATATATAAATATATATATATATATATATATATATATATATATATATATATATATATATATATATATATACACTCACACATATACTTACACACATATTCGGTTTTTATATTGTCATTTTCTTCAACACCATTAGCTTTTCTGGTGTTAATCTGTTTTTTAGATTCAGTTAGATTTTTGTTGTGCACTCTAAGAGAACAATCCGGAGATTATGAGCTCCTCCTTATCATAGTTACACTAAATTGGGGGTTAATATCAGAGTTTTTTTTAATAGATAATTTGCCTTTACCTTGGCTATTTCTAATAAACATGGGAGTTAAAAATATTTTTAAAATTTAATTTCTATTATATATTAAAATAAAAAAAGTTAAAAAAATAAAAGAAATTTTTAAATTAATTAAACACTAGATTTTTATATATCGCTGGAAAAGTCTTCAATTGAGTATTTTAAAGGTGAAAAAAATCAAAATTGATAAGGGTGCCATACCCTTTTAATTTTAGTTACCAAATTTTTGATGTATAAATTTCTTAAAAAAACTGTGATCAAATTTTAATTTTTTTCAACTTAAAACGTCATATCTTGGTCAAAAATGCATTCAACTTGGTATCAAAAGAAAGGTCTAACATAGAGCAATATGTAAATACAAAGGGTGTACGAAGGTAGCTAGAGGGGGATCTACAAAACCCTTTATTATATTGAAAAATGTTGAGTTTTTAAAAGAAAATATTATTTAAATTAAATTTATAATTTTTATTTGTATTTTAATATATATTGTAACAGGGTACCATTAAATATGATTTGGACACTTTAGGTTGATTGAATAGAAGTCCTTTTGGCTTCAGGCGCACCTTCTATAGCGCTAGCTACCCAATATCAAGTTTATTACTTTGTATTTTCATGCATTTCTTTAACTTTATTACTTTAACTTCATTACTTTGTTATCTTCATACTTTGCGTCTTTATCTAAATGCATGCAACTTTACATCAAAATAATGATTTCAGGGATAAATGTGTGAAGATGCGCCAAAGGATATTAGTTGGAAGTTCTCCACCCCTCAGACCTCAGGTAGAGTGGGTTAATATTCAAATATTATCTTTTTGTAGTAATAAATAGTAATAATATAAAACACAAATTTTCCATACAAAAATCAAACTTCACTATACACAAAAACTTAATTTAAAAAAAGATTATATATAAATATCAACTTAATAAATATATACATACATACTATACATACACCTATCAATAGGCGTATATATTCACCTAAGTGAATCTATATACACTCATTAATAAGTATATGTATAATTGTTTATTACTAATTTCCTGATTCCTCTGCCATCCCTTCTGCCACCAGGAGGTTTGTATTTAAAATTAGGCAGGTCTTTACCTCCATTCTGGGCCCATATGCTAAAGGCCCTTTTTCGATTTGGGCCCAAGGTGGCTTCTGCATTAAACCAAGAAATCACCCCTAGACAAGCATATTTAAAAAAAAAATTACATTAGTGTTTAATTAAAACACATATAAAGACTTACCAAGTAGGTCTTGGTTTGCATTTTGGGCGCCAGATGGCAGTAATGACATCAATGAAGATGGTAAATTTGACTTTTAATATTTTCTAATTTGAAATAAGTTTAATAAAAATTATAAAAAATAGTGTTAACCTATTTATAATTTTTTCTTTAAACAAACAAAAAAGAAACAAATAAAATAACGGTCTGCAGTAAATGCTCTCCAGCAGCTAAATGAATAAAAAGTATAACTCTATTTTTGCTCAATTTACAATTTAAAAAAATTTATCATATATATATATACTAACACAGCATAAGGGCAAATCTTCATAAATGCGAACTTATTAGTTTTACGAAAAAGTAAAGTGCATACAACCACTAAGTAGTAAAATGAGTAATATAATAATAGAGAAATAAAATACATACAATGACTGATAAATATAGACATACTATCATTAAAATTTACATATATACATGCCTTAGATTTTGGTTAGGGAAGGCTATACATTGTTTAGCAAATTACATTGCTTTACATCAGAGCAATCATTATAGTAGAGAAATATAAAAGTAACTTCTTAAAAAGAAGTTACTTTTATATTTAAACCAAATTAGCAAATAAATTATAACAATAGTGAAGTC